AATAATGAGATTACGAAGGCCTCAAGCAGCGAGATAGGCTAATCAACGCATATAGAAGCTAGTTAATCTTCAAGTTAAAACAAAATTTATATTAAAATGGTTAAAAATATGGAAAAATAAAAATATTTTAATCTCAATACTTGGATCTAACCACGGCTAATACCGGTGGTCAATATTTAGGTGTGTATTTGCGTATAACTATGCTTTTGCACCTACCACACCATTACACCAATACTCGTACATCTCTAAACTCTGCTCTAGAAAGGAGGTTATAGGTCAACTTACAAAACATGTCGCTCAAGTCAAACCCGCCGACGAGGAAGCAGACATGGACCAGCTTTATCATCTTCCCACTGAAAAGCTCGATGGTGCACATCTTGTGGAGGAGGTGATGCCGGCGTGCCACCAGTTGTCCCCGTAGGGTGCAAAAACGATGACGGTCCACCCGTAAGCCAGAATCTCAGCTGAGTGCATTGGAGGCGTCTGGGCGTAGTTGATTTGGGTTTTATGGATGGCTTGGGCCGGCGGGACCACGACGGTGTGGCTTTGGCCCAGTTGGAGGTCCATGATCGCGGCCCCATATTTTTGGGCTAAGTTCCTGAGGCCTGAGGGTGGCATGGCGCGTTGTTGGTGGCGAGGTGGTGCATGTGGCAGGAGGGTCAGGAGGGTCATCTGCTTGTTGCGGTCCGCACTCGCCAGGGCCAGGGTAATGGGTAAAACTTAAATTCGAATGACCTTTAATGAGTATGGGTAAAATCCTAATTCGAATATTGCGGGTAATGGGTGGACATGGTTCTCTCACTATTCAACCTGAACACGCCCAATTATGTATATGCATATGTATTTTGTCTAGAAATAATCATTCTTTTTCTCTAACATATTTTATATCTAGCATAAAAATATAATATTTTCATGAAATTGTGTTGTAATATATTTTCTTCATTCCAGTGATTTATTGCCCTGCTTTTTCTCTTATGTAATGTGAGTATATCTGTGAATGTTAACATATTGGTTGGAGTTATTATGATCCATGGATAACCGTGAATACCCGAAATCTGAACGAGTATGGGCATGATTTTGTTTTTCTGACTATTTCTTATGTGGGTATGGATAAAACCCGAACTACTTTGGGTAGGGTAACGGATATGCACTACTTTCCGCCGAACAGACTCGTTGTCATCCCTAAGAGCACTCCTTAGGGCTACAGATAGGTTGCATAACCTTAGAATGCATAACCTTGCATTGAAGTGATGTTATTATATATTTAACCCAATATTTTTAAATAGTGTTGCAATCAAAGTGTTGCTAAAGACCGTTTTCCCGTACTAAATCAAGCATTCGCGTGCGACAGTGGGTTGACCGGAGACTCGGAAAGGAAGATAGTGGAACTAGACGTAGAATAGGGCGAATACAAAGAAATTAATTAATAAAATATTAATAAAATATGATGTGGCATCCACGTGACATGGCATGTTGCCGTTGACGTGTGCTTCAATCACATAGCATCCTCGTTAGCGTCTTGTTAATATAACTGATGAAATCTATAATGACATTGAAATTTATAACGGAAGTGACTAAATTTGTCAAACATATTTCCAAAATTTGGACATTTTGTGTATCTCTCAGAAATTGGCTATTACTTTCAAAAAGTAAATAGTTATGGCTATGCAAGTGAATTTAGTTAATTTTACCTGACAATATTCACCCGGTCAGCAAAAAATGTTAGTCCAATCAGCATCTAAAATGACTCCATTAAAGTTTCAAACAGAACGCACTTGCCACCAAGTCCAAGCTCCATGTTTACAATTGCTCCCCTTCAGCGGCCTGCCCTGTTTGTGGTAACCATCCGGAGACTCTCCATCACTGCCTCTTCCTCTGCAACCACGCCAAGGAAGTGTGGTCGAACAGCCTCCCATCCATTGTCACACCACCACCACTCACAAATCTGTTGGATTGGATCTTTGAGTTCCACCTATCGCTGCCTTCGCTAGGGGTGGGATTCGGTCGGTAAACAATTTACCGTTTACCGAATTTACCGGTTTCGGTATACCGAAGTTGGCCAAATTGGTTACCGATTACCGATAGCGGTTTGTAACCGTTTTACCGATTACCGGTAAACGGTTACAAAACGGTATTACCAAAATACCGTGAGAAGCGATTTCGAGCGGTTTTTCAGTCGGTTTACCGAATATTTACCAAACCGAATTTTTGGAAGTGGGGTGATGTTGTAATATTTTAATTTTTTTTAGGGTTTGGCCGTTTGGGTAGCAACAAAACGCAACGCAACACTAGGGAGTAGGGAGGGGGATTTCGATATCGGTATTACCGATTTACCGTCGGCATTTACCGATACCGTGTCCGGTAAACCGACTCCCCCAACTTCCCGTTCGGCTGCCGATACCGCCGGTAAACGGTTCGTAAAACGGTAAACCGTTTACCGGATTACCGTTTAACACCCCTAGCCTTCGCAAACCATCCTCTTCACCATCTCTCTCCTTTGCTTGATTTGGATTAGCCGCTACGGTAAAGCCTTCAACAATTATAATCCATGGCCACCTGTTACGATTGCAAATGCATATAGGAACCTGCAATTGTGGTCCCATTTCTCCGTTCCTGCTGCTCTGAACCTCAGTCCTACTTACCAGCTTACTTCTATTAGAGTATGTGCACTACAAGTAGTATTATGTTACACTACGAGTACTGATATGTAATTGGGCAGAGTTATATTCCTTATCAGAGTCGTATTAGTGTTAGGGTTATTATAGAAGTCAGTCTATGTACTCTATATAAACCTTATGTGATTTCAGTTATAAGGGACAATAGTTTCCACCGTATCCTGATTTCCCAACAACTTCAACCCAAAACATACCTTGTACACCGCCAAGAATTCCCGAAATGGAGATTCACTGTAATAGATTGTTTGTCAACGATTCCCAAGAGGCGGCTTATGGCTATGTAATCATCAATAGTCATGGACAGATATGCGATGGGGAAGCTGATAAAGTGATTTGTGCCTCGCCTATTGGAGCAGAAGCAAAAGCACTTCAAAAATCTTTGAGTGCAACTAGAATAGAAGATCGAACGTCTCCTATTGTGTTTATGTCAGATTTTTTGACTCTGGTTACTGCCATTGGAAAACATCCCAGCTCATGGACATGGACGTGTTATGCCAGATTGGGGATTATGTCGTAGATTCTTAGCTCACCCAGTTTATTCAAGTGAAATTTCTTCCTATAAAACATAACTCTAGAGCGAATTGGGTAGCTAGATCTTGGGTGCGTGACTCTCTGCCTGATGATTGGATAACGGCCATCCTCAATCTCCTGGACTCTTTTTTTACTTGAAGTCTTTGTAACTGTTTCTTTACCCGGGATGAAATCACCATATTCTCTGTAAAAAAAAAACAGAATTAAACATTATGTATATTATTCATCTATTATTGTTACAAAATTGATAATTATAGCCATACAGATAACTATAGTTTCAATTCAAACAATCATCCATTATCTTCAATTCATTGTGCTGGTCTGGTCCGCAGGTAGGGCATCGTGCTTTGCTGCCTGTCGCATTTCAATTCCGAAACCTACCCTTACCTGCCCCCGGACAAAACAAAACCCATCAAGTTGAAAACTGTACCGTCCGGGCCCTAGCAATACATTTATTCGCTTTCGACTCTTACTCAGAAAAGTGGTCGTACGTCGCTCGCGCCTTCAATCAGGCCTGAAAAAGAGAAACCGCAATCAGACAGGACGTTTTCGTTCTATCTCCGACGGACCATTTGGCTTTTATTAGATCCACCGACCGGCCATCTTTTCTTCCTTTCCTTCACGTTTTTATTTCCGATTTTTCTGCACAAGGGAAAACGACAATTCATTCACTTTGGCCAATAATATAGTGAAAGTGGATATAATATTATCTTACAACTTGGCAATAATATATACTTGGTTGGTAGGGGATAGGGATGAGAATGGGACCCTTTATCTAAAATTATCTTCATATTTATATTCAAATATTCAAATTCATACTCATTATATATATATGTTGGAAAGGTTTTTGCAAACTCATCCTCGTACCTACAATTTTATGATATCAATAGGTAACATCTGCCTTATAAAAGCAATATTACTATATCTGAAATTCAATATAGAAGGTTGATTGGTTGTCACAATAGAAGGTAGCAGGTTGACGGACATGCTATGAGATGATAGAGAAGGACACTGAACTACACAAGATGTGTAGGCAACTAGTCTAAACTCTGCTTCACCGGAAGATATGGAGATGGTGGTTTGTTTTCAATTTCCAAGAAATCATATAATGATATAAATTCCAATGTAGACACAAGATCTTATGGTTCGGGGACAGAGACAGGATTTGAAGTTAGGGGAGGGGGCGAGAATTTTTTTTTCCAAAGACATAATAAAACGAAATGTGTCCATAAATTCTTGAAAAACACTCAAAACATAACCAATTGATGGAATTCTATAAAGGATTTTTTTCAATCAATATTTAAACTATAAAAGATCATATGTCATTTTCTTCAAACTCGTAGAATGCATGTCACTAATATATTCATGGATTAGAGCAATGATGATATTTTGGATGTATCAATAAAAAATAAGCTTTTGTATATGTCAAACAAAAATTTAATCAAACTAATTAAGAAGCAAGGTTAGAGAATAACAAGCATTCAAAAAAAAAAAGTACAGCTGTGTGGGTTAACTATTGACCTCCCACCATAAGAAATCTAAGTTATCACGTTGACCACTTCGTTTATACTACGAACTGTGTAAGAAACCTAAGTTAGCACATTACCCACTCAACTTATACTACAAAATATATCAATACGCAATCTACAATCTACATAACTTATGAATGAAGAATATATATAAACAAGGCATTAATAATATTTTCAATATAAAATCTACATTAACCAAATCAGGTCAAACATGTTGGGTAAAATATGCTAACCGATTCCTCAAATTTCATATAATTAAATATCTCCTTGTAATGCTCTTTTTTTTTGTAGAAATATAATGCTTTTTTCAAAGATGGAAACTACTCTCATGTCTCAACTTAAAATATAAGGAACTTGCCACAGTACTCCGTCTCCTCTTCATTCAATGCAAACCAAACTACATTAAAAGCTAGACCGCTTAATTCAACCCAATAAGATTGGGGACAATGAGACTTAAGTAGGTTCATTATTTTAATAATAAGCCGAACCCTACTTAATTAAGCTCACACTACTTTAATTAACCCCACAACCCATCAAGAGCCACATAGTATAGTAGTACTAATCCACCTCATCAGAGCTCTAATTCTGGAGCTCAATCCTGACTCCGGCAATGGTCACCGGCCCATCGGCAACCCTAGGCACCAACGTCACCACAAGCTCATCGTCGTCATCAGCTCCGATGTCGCCCACCAGATCGGTAATATCCAGCCTGAGGTTGGTCGCGAACTTCATGGAGTCGTGAGGCACGTTGAGGAAGCTGCCGGCGTACTCGAACTTGTCGGGCCCGCTAGGGTTGGCCGGGTCGTCGTTGACCACCACGTCGAACTTGACCACCTTGTCGCCCTGCAGCTCGATCCCGTACACCACCAGGACCTCGCTCTGGGCTTCCTTCTCCGCCGCGGTCCTCGACTTCTTCGGCCGAGCCACCGACACGCTCACCACCGAGTCCAGCGCCAGCGGGAACTCGGTCAGCGGGGTCAGCTCCACGGCCGGAGCCTCCGCCGCGTTGGCCGTCTTCTCGCCGCCGAAAATGTTGGCTACGGTGGCGGAACTGGCCGGGGTTTTCTGGAAGTTCCTCCATGGGAGGGGGCGCTCCTCGTAGTCGTACCTGTATGGTTTCACGAGGTAGCAAGAGTGTTAACACAAAGAAGTTTGGGTAGTGGTATGTAATTTTGTCGAGGGAATTATTGAAGTTCGGGAAAAGAAAGTTAAGGGAGAAACGATAAGATAGGACAGGATAGGATAGGAGCACAGCAGACGCATTCATGTTGGAAAATCTGACAAGACACGAACTCACACTCAATGCTCCTACTTGTTCCACAATTTAATTCATAGATCGTTTTTACTATAAAAAAATTTAAAATTTATCATACACTAGTAAAACAATTTTCTTTACCTGACCAAAAAAAAAAACAATTTTCTTTAGAAGAAAATTATTCATTTTATGAAAAAACATATATGTGTAGTTTCATGTAATATCAAATATAGTGTTTGGAAAGCAGGCCTTGTTATGCTATATATATATTCGTATTAAAATAGTAAACGTCTTGGAAAACAATATATACCAAAAATTGTATCATCTTTTTTCTGGCAGGGTTAACAAAACAACAAAACTTCTGGTTCCCACCAAATTTGATTTTAACTCTCCAATGTTCTGGACACATTGGCTTGTACTTTGAAACTGGATGGGTCCAAACTCCAAACCGTTGATCCTGGTTCATTCACTGGGAATTCAGGACAATATCTCATACTTGCCACACGACCATTTAGTGTATTCTCGTATAAACATTCAGATATGTAAATTAAAAAATATTTTTTTATAACCCTGGAGTTCACAATATTTCATTTTTTTAATAGAATGTTCAGATACTAATAAAACAGCATAACATTGTACAAATGATTGGGAATCAGATATTTTTCCAAGTAGAATAATGAACTTCTGAAGCGGTTAGAACGAGATCATTAACTGTTTTTATGGTTAATATAATGTAAGCAGAAGGTCATTAATATTGAACCAAACAGCTACCACCAACCATCCATGGTTCTTAACTAATTTGTGTTGGGTCGGGACTGCTGTACTTTACGTACTTTTCCTTTCATTTAATCTAAGCTTATCAATTTAACTCGGTTACCATGCATCAACGTCTGGTTTCATTTATAACTTTCTCTTCGTACGATCGTCGGCCTTAATAAAAAATTAAAGCTTTCCCTTTGTAGGTAACGTAACGTACCTCATGAGTTTGTTGTCCAGACAGTCCTTGACCTTGACCCGAACCGGTTTGGCATTCTCGTCGTAAAACAGGAACGACGCGTTCAGATAGTCATAATCATCGAAGTCGAACCGGAACTTCCCAATCGTTTTCCACACGTTCCACAGCCGATCCACATTCCCATGGTGAACATAGAACAGCGGGTCCCGCCCCGACGAATAAAAATTACCCATGTCCTCCCCAAGGGCCCGGCTGGAATCCCCGACCCAGATATGGGCCGGGTTGTGGAGATTCTCACACGACCCGGAAGACTGCCTCACGGGCACCGCACTCCCGGTCCGGTACTTTGCCCCGAAGAACTCCAGCCTCCGCTTCGCACCGGACACCATGTTGTTGTACACCACGGCGTAGTTGACCCGAACCTGCTCCTCCTTGGTCCGGACCGCGGGCTGCCTCTTGTTGTAGTCCAGATCGAGCAAGGAAGTGGGCAGCTGGTGGGCCGGGTTGCGGAGCGGGTCGTAGAGGGGCGACTCGGTGTCTTTAAACATGTCGGCGATGGGCATGCCGTCCTCGTGGTCCCAGTTCCAGAAGGGGAGCGCGAAAGTCGGGTCGTCGATGAGCTTCCCGAGGATGCGCTCGTAGAAGTAGATGTAGTAGCGGTGGAAAGGGAGGAAGAGCCAGGAGTAGTGGATCTGGAGGCCTTTGTTGGTGTCGTCGGCCTGGACGTAGGCGCCGTTGCAGTAGGCGCAGTGGACCCGGGCCTGCTGGATGTAGCTGCGCGGGTCGTCGTTGGGGAGGCACCGCATGGCCTTGATGGCCCGCTTGTACTTGTCGAGCCAGACCGGGTCCAGGCCCGCGAGGTGGGCGGGCCGGCGGATCCGGACGGGCTCCGAGGCGGAGGGGAGCTGGAAGTCCATGATGTCCACCCCGGCGAAGGACGGGGGGCAGCACGCGAATGTCTGGTCGCCAGCTGTGGCGCGGACGCAGGCCTCGATGCTGGGCCCGCGGACGGGCCGGGCCAGGGCGGCGGAGAAGGGGTCGAGGGTGAGGGCGGTGGTGGCTCCGGCGCCGAGGCCGAGGAGGAGGTCGCGGCGGGAGGTGGGGGAGGAGGGGTTGTCTGGGACGGGGGTGTTGTTTGGTGCGGTGGAGTCGCAGGTGATGTGGAGTGGTTGCCTGGTCCTGCGGCGGTGGCCGGCTGGGGAGGAGTAGTGGTGGGTAATGTGGGTTGGTGGTTTGGTTGCGGCGGAGAGTTGCGGGGTTTTGGGGTAAGCGGCGGCCGTGGCGGCGGATGGAGCGGTGAAACTGGCGAAGGAAGCCATGTTTTGAGTGTTTTTTGGTTTGGGTTTCCTTGGTGAGGAAGGGTGATACTTTTGTGAGAATTGTGGCGAATGGTAGCCGTGTATAAATAGGCCAGATAGTCTAGTATTGTGGTGTATTAGAAAATAATCCAGTGTATCTGAGTATTCTTAGTAAAATTGAACTTGGTTATTAGATAGTGATATAAATGTACGGACCACAACTTGCTCAAATCATGCATCTTGGCTCTTGGGTTATACTTATTTATATGGTCTAAGGTAGGTATGTGGGAAGCTAGTTATTTATTTGTATATTTGTGGATCAATATACCAACCTATATCAAGGTGATATTTGGTGGCGAACGATGGTATACAGTGTGAAACGTAGTAGATGGTGGTTAGTATATTTGTATTATACCAGCACAATACCATGATATAACTTTATGTGCTACCAAGTATTACCGTCATGATATAAAATGATATGTCTTAATTTTTTTTATTTCAAAAAATTATCAAAATATATGTCTTTTTAAAAGCACAATTAATCTGAGATTCGCTATCATGCGCGGCCTACATATACATTGTTTTCTCCTTTTCTTTATCTTCTACCCCGGATGTGATATGCTGCTAATTATTAGGGGTCGTTAGGTTTTGGTGATAGTTAAATTGATGCAGTGTGATCAATGCATGCATAATAACATACATGTATATAAGAAAATCGGTGTATTGTAATTTACATCGTTTGGTTTATGTGGTAGTTATTGTAGTATTTAAAGTTATATTACTTTTTGAGTTAAATGTCACTTATACCCTTTGTTTTTTTATATAAGAAAGCAACACACATGAAAGGTAGAGACATAGTTGGAAGAAAAAAAGACTCCGACTCAACAATCCCATATATTGTTTGTGCATAAAATTAAAAAAAACAATGCATTGTATACAATACAAGCATTGTAACTATTACAACCAAACAATCACCAATATTCTGAGAATTGGCAAATAATTGAGATGTAAATTCAATAAATTAAAAATATGTGAGAACTGAACTCTGTGGAATATCGGAGGAGTTGTCCTAATCACATCCTGTCAGCTAAAAATCACTTGATTGGTGGTTTCGAAATATTCCCTTTTCCCGACCCGGTAATTATGGAGAAAGATGTAGCGGTGGTTTTGGTTTGTATTTTTTGAGTATTATGTTTTTCGTTAGTGTTATCATTTTCATATTATCACTATACCAATTTTTTAAGTTATATTTGAGTATTATAGCCGGCTTGATTATTCTATTTTATTTTGACAATGAATTTACATCGTAATGTTAATAGTTGAATATTCTACAAATTATTGTTTAATAAACATGAGGTCATTTATATATTTTAGGTGTTTTAAATGCATGCATTTTTCTCCGTTGTACACCAACATACATTAGATAGCAGTTCGCAATATGTTGAGAAAATTCATATACAACCATTATAAACGATGGTATGAATATACCACCATACCATAGTACACTTTCATACCACCATCATATAATATTATATAATATCAAGCATTTCTACCATGATGGAGGACTATAGGTTGATATATGTCTCAATTTTTTGTTTCAAAACATATTAAAGTGAAAGTAATTTTGAAAAAAACTTGATTACTCTAATTTTATGTTACAAATTTTGAATTTCAACTTAAAATAAAGAGATATAACTCGTTGAATTAATTCAACTGAAAAAAAATTACTAATAATCAACAGCCAACCAAATTACTCATGTTCGAGTAGAACGCTAGATCTCCTTGCATTATTGCATTGGAGGAGGTACACTTTGCCTTCAGTACACATTTAGTAAACCAGCAAATAAATTGCATGTCAGGATAGAGAAGCGGGTCTCACTTGTTAATGGGCTCTGTCTACATACCCTAATTGCACGGTAGGTATGGATCCATTATCGAAGTGTTTGAAACAAGGTTGTCAAACCGGTTTATGCGAGTGTGCCGGTTTAGCAAGTGGAATGATTCAATCGGTGGTACATACCGGTTTGTGCCGGTTCATGTCGGTCAATATTACAAATAAAATTATAAATACTCATATTTAAACATAACATTTAACGTCAATACCTAAATATTTATACTTGAATCCAACAAATAACATCAATATTTAACTTTTATACTCATAAAATAAATAATAAAATAATTTTTATCAATTAAATTCACTAAAATAAGGTAATTTTACTTAGAGATTCGTATATCGATCATACCGGTCATACCGGTGGTATCATGCCGGTTTTATGACCGATATCGGTTGAACCAGATACAACCGGTGGCACGCCGGCCGGCGTGACAACCATGGTTTGAAACTTGAAGCAGACCGCCGATGTATTGATTTCACATGGCATGGCATCGGCCCGGCAAGTAAAGGAAGCCATCGTTCTCGTATACTGAATACAAGTGGCCGCGGCCGGCCGCGGGACCGCGGGAAGCAGCTGCATTTAGTAGGGGCTGTGTAGTTGGTAGGCGGTACTTCTACAGGACCACACATTGATGGGAAACCAAAACATTAACAAAAATAGGGTATAATTATTTTTTTTAAAAGGCAAAAATACCATTATCGGCCAAACTGCATTATTCACAATCAATTGCTGTATTGCTGCTGGACTATAATTTCGAGCTTTTTACGGTTATTTGTTTTGTGGATTAAAAAATGTGAATTTTGCGATTTGAAAATTTTAATATTTATAAAGGATTTGAGGGGTCGTGGATTCGAAACCATTCTTTGTTTTGTTGATATGCTTTGATCATGAATTTAAGGATTTTAAATTTAGAATTTCATGTCAAAAATTACCTTAACATCATTTTCCATTTGTTTGTCATGTTTATAATTGTTTGAGTCAAGTTCCTCACCCGCTCGGGCTATGCGTCCCGAGACTCCGATTGATCTAACAATGCGCCTTCCTTCGCTCTCGAGTCCCCGGGGCGCTTTTCACCCTGCACCCAAAGTGTCTAGTGGACCCTCGAGGTCCGTTAACACTCCGACGATCAAGTTAGCACCCGAAATTTAGAGAGAGAAGTAAATATGGATAGAGAGAGAAGTCTCAACCTGAGTAAATGAGGTTCACCTCTCCAATATTTACACTCGGAGCCTTGCCGACCGTTGCCCCCCAAATCCGCCCCACGTCATCACCTTATTAAATGCACGGTATCTTCACACAACCAGACGTCTCGACCATCTGACACCGGATTCAGAGGTTTGGGGCGCATGACCTCATAAACTGCGCCCTCCGTACACTTCCGATCGTTATACTATTTTGTCTTCAAGCGCTTTGTGCCAGAATTCGGCCCCACTTCTCCATCCTATCCACCTGTCCCCATTGGGCTAGCACTCCTTCCATTGGGCTTACCCCTCATATTGGGCTTGGCTTTCTGAGACCCCTTGCTGGGACTTCTCATGCCCCTAACATTTATTATATGTACACAAATAAGGACAATACTAATAAGTATAATGTTGTCACAAGGACAATAATAATAAACAACAAAACTTCGTTTAACTTTAACATAACATATATCAGTTATCAATTCCTTGTCCTCCATTTCAAAAGTAACATATATTAGAACCGGGAGAACAAAAAATTCTATGTTTCATGAAAAGGTCAAGGCAAACTACAACACAAGAAAGGGCATATAAAATCTAAGTCATGTGTCGCATGCACCACCTCTACTCCCAGCCTCTTCCGATGTCATTCATGGCTTGATAAAGTCCCGCATGTCTATCTGAGATGATGCAGACATCATTTCGATCGGTCAAACCTTGAACGCGACTTATGAACCATGGCCAACTTTCAGTATTCTCGCTCTCCACGATGGAAAATGCTATTGGAAAAATCTTCTTCCGGCCATCAAATGAGCTCGCCATCAGTAGCACTCCTTTATACTTTCCAGTAAGAAATGTTCCATCAACAACCATGACTCCTGGACAATTCTTGAATCCATCTATACAAGGTCCATAAGCCCAAAATACTCGCTGAAAGATCAAATGACCTAGTTGAGCTGAAGGAACTCTTACCAAATCAATCACCGATGTTGCCATTTTTCTCTTTACCACCCGCAAGAATGTTTACAAATAATCGTAGGATTCTTTCCAATTCCCATGCAACTTCTCCAATGCTCTTTGTTTCCCATACCAAGCCTTCTTGTACGTAACTTGCATATTAAACTTATCTTTCAAATCGGCCTGCACTGTTAGAACACTTAGATTTGGTTGGGCACGTACCAAATGTTTCACAGACACAGATATAACGTCGACATCAAGATGGCGATGATCCATCGGTTGAGTCGTAGAGCTACAAGAATGCACCAACTCGGCCTTTCTCACAGTCCATTCGCCTCCAACATCTCGACATCCAAACGCACCATCCAAGGACAATTGTCCTCCTTGTGCTTCAAGCATCTGACCTTCCAGATTTTCTGTGACGACTCCACCATGACATACTGAAAGCTGCGTTGTAGTGCGTGGTGTTTAATCGCCGCCTGTGCAGCTTGTTTCGAGTGAAATATCTGCTCCTTCTAGAATTCTTCTTCAAAACCACCAACCATATGCATTGGAATTACGCCATATAAATCAGCAAATGACAATTCGTCCTCCTCCTCATTATCATGCAAGTAAAAATAGGGAGGATAATTAGGCTTTTCTCCTTCCCCATCTTCATCATCATCATCCTCCTCCCCCTCTCTGTCATCTTCATCATGATCGGATGGGACGCTCCTTGTCTCATCTTCTTCCTCTTCACCTTGATGCTCACTGAGCTCAGCATGCATCTCAACACCCAAACAATAAGAATTTTGTGCCATAAAATTTCAAAGCGCATTCAAACTATCATCATCCATAATAGGCATCGCATAATGAAATAAAACACCATTCTACCATTATGGAAGACAATAAGTGAAACATGTGAACACATTTACGCCGTATTCTCTGAATTAGATTCTTATAAAGTTTGTGATATGTCACCCTGGATGGCAACGTCATCTGAAAACTTCCACCACCAACGAAATGGAGGCCCAAATTATCCTCTACTTTCTCCAATTTCCATCGAACGACTAATTTAAATCTTCTAAAATCACTACATAAAAAAAACTCGCTAATTACTAAACAAAATCATAACAACATTTGAAGAATATAATTAAAAAAAATAAATGTGTCTCTTACCTATTAGCCATCTTTGCAGCAACCAGAGCTTCTCTCGTCTAACAGGAGATTGATTTTTTTTTTTGTGTGTGAGCTGCTGAAA